ATCAGTTACTACTGATGAGTGAGTTCGATCCTCACTGGATGACCCATGCTTTCGGTCTTGTGCCACATCTAAGCTACGCTTGGAAAATCTTTGGGCGCCCCAAGGCGGTGTAATGGTTAGCGAGCTTGTCTCGCTCGATCAATTACGACTGAATAGTGAGTTCGATCCTCAATGGATGCACCCATTCTTTCGACCTTGTGCCACATCTAAGCTACGTTTGGAAAATCGCTATTTAAACCCAGAAAATATTTCTAGATTCTAAGATATTTTTTTTTAGATGATAATGGTTTAGTGATAGAAGTTTTACTAATAACGATAGCAGGAGGAGAGAGAAGAGGTTGATTCATACTATTCCCAAGGATGTTTCTTAAGTGAATATAACGAGCCAGAGTGAAATTGAAATTCGGCTTCTTATTCCAAGCTGAAATCCATTACTCCTCCCGTACATAAAAACTTACAACGCCTGGTATTCCCAAGCGGTTCTCCATTTAGGTACTGACCAGACTCGACGTTGCGTAAGTGAATATAACGAACAGAACGGGAATTGGAACTCAGCAATTCCGAGCAGCTATGCATCACACCACCCGTACATCCAAGCTTACAACACCAGACATTCCCAAGCGGTCACCCATGGAAAAAGTGATAGAGTAGCGATAGGTTTGCAACGTATGGTAGCGCTTGTGTCATCATAGCTATCGGAAGTATTTCTCCGCTATCTATTACCAGTAATTGATTCCGCAGGAGATGAAAGTTGCTTTTAAGGAATTCATGTACATATTCTGTGACGTACCCTTTAAAATTGGACAGAGACGAAATCGTAAATAGAAGAGGATGGTTTCTGGAAGTCTTCAATTCTTGTAATATGTCTATTGTTTGTGAACCTGGTTGACCTGAGGATGAAGTCACTCCACTGCATATTGAGAATGATGCGTTGACAATGTTAATATAATTATTTTAGAAACATTCCTCATATCTGCTTTGCTTTCTTTTTTACACCCTCCTCATCTATCGTTTTGTTCTTGGAAAGCTTAGCCATTCATAATTTTAAAGATTTATCTTTCACAATTTCAAAATGTTCTCATGCTTGAAGTTGAACGCACTGGTTCGAAAAAAAAAAACACACCCCATAACATCATTATAAAACACTATTTACATTATTCAAACTACCGTCCTCATCTTTGTTTTTCACAACGTTTCGTCCGTTCTACGCTCCAGCCTTCTTCAGGTGGTTAGAATGTCAAACTTTCTATTTCGCTTGTTGGGTTGGACTGCTCTAGTTCCACGTCTAATGGATGACAGTTATCAGTTATCTCCTGTTAATTCCTCACTCCAAGTTCTCCACTGTTTTAATCTGGTATTGAACTCACAACTCTTTGGGTCGTGTCTCTGGATCTAACCAACGCTGTGCTATGTGTCCTTATGGACATCTGTGTATGAATTTCTGGGACTCATAAACTTAATGTCTTCAGCAACTATTTTTTTTTACCAGTGCCTCATATTGCAATTTTTGCTGTTATCATTGTCTGTGAGTTGTGATTTCAATACCTCGTTAAGGCAGTGGAGGACTTGAAGAAGGGAATTAACAGGAGATAACTGATAACAGACATCCATGAGACATGGCACGTGGGACTAGAACAGCGAGCGAAATAAAGGGTTCAGTTTGATATTCCAATCACCTGAAGAAGGCTGGGGCGTACAACGACCGAAACGTTGTGACAAATGTGGCAACAAAGATGAGGATGATAGCACCTCAAATATAGACAGAAACATAAAAATCAGCTAGAATAATGAGAAAATAGCTTGAGTTTTTAGGATGCTTCTTTTTGTGTCGTGTCCATTCTGATAGTGGGCGATCAAAGCTCTTAACATCTTTCTATGCTTTTAATCATCTAATACATGGCCCCTTACTACTCCTCACATGACTTGTCCTGCCATCTGTTAGGCGGATTAGGTAGGTTATGTGAAATTAGTGAATATCATCTACCGCAAGGAAAGTTGTGTCGCGCCAGAAAGTTTGTTTTTTTCTCGCCTGAGTCCATCCTTCAAATCTATAAATCAACCATTCGCCCTTGTATGGAATGCTACTACCATATATGGTCAGGAGCCTCCGCTGTTCGTCTCAAAGTCCTCGACAAAATCCAGAGACGAATATGCAATGTGATTAGCTCTGATCTAGCATCTCGTCTATGGTCACTTTCTCACAGACGTGCCGTCTCTTCCCTCTGTCTTTTCTACAAGTATTTTCCCGATAACTATTCCGACGAGCTACTTTCGCTGGCTCCCAAACTGCATGGATTTAAGCGGGCTACCACGTTGGCATCTCAGTCCCAACCTTTCTTTGCCGAAACTGTTAAATGTTGCAGTGTCTTCTACTTCAAGAGCGTCATGTCACGCATTTCCCGTTTATGGAACTCACTTCCTCTTACTTGCTAGCTATAATCTTTAATTATTCAAATGCAATGTAAATCGATATCTTCAGATGCTTTGATCTAATTCCCCGTCCTTCTCTTCATCCTTTACTCTATCACACCTCTTAATTCTTGTTCCTACTGTCTTTAATCCCTTGCGTGCTAGTCGCATCCCGCCTTGCTTGGAGTGAAATGCTTAAAAAAAAATTAAAGACTTCAAATACATTTGCGTATGGCACAGATATAACAATTTAGTATTGGAAAAAGTAAATTTAACATAGAATTGTTTCCACCAAACGTAGTTTCACACAACACCGCAAGTTGTTACAAAACCAAAACATCAATCTGAAAACTCGAGTCGCGTTCCTAAATAGCCCGATCAGATCTAAACTTTCATTTGAATATCATGCATAGTGCCAAACCGTTCAGAAATATCTAAACTGTCTGCTGTATAAAAGAGTTTTTTTTAGGATCAATCGTTAAAAATGTTGTTGAGCGAGGGCATCCTGAATGTCTTAGCCTAATTTGAACATTGTAGACTGACACTACAGAATCACGAACAAAGAACTGTACCAAAAATAACAGATATGTCACCTGACGACTACCAACAGCAGCAACAACTAAAATGGATAGCATTGATGTAACTCGAAGAGAAAATAACGGCATAACCAAAATGCTGACATTCCACATTTTCACATAAAAGATTAAAAAGTATAACTCTTTCAATAATGGAAAGAGCGATAACCGCTATTGGACTTCAGAAACCTATTTCCCTGAAATATTTTTAAGAGAAAGATTTTATAACTTTCAAGCGAAAGTTGATTAATGCATGTCAAATATTTCCTTGTAGGGAAACGGCTAATATTATCATTATCATTATCTTCTGATGTTTTCCTTTGCCCCTCTTTTGCCTTCAATATATACTGCCAATGTCAAATTCTTATGCCTCTAGTATCTGTCTATATTTCTGAGATGAGGTATTATATACACTATTTACATTGCTCGGACTATCATCCTCATCTTTGTTGCCATATTTATCACAACATTTCGGGTGTCGTACGCTCCGGCCTTCGTCAGGTGCTTAGAATGTCGAATTAAACCCTTTAGACATGGCACGTGGAACTAGAACAGCCTACCTCAGCGAAATAAAGAGTTCAGTTTGACATTCCAACCACCTAAAGAAGGCCGAAACGTTGTGATAAATATGGCAACAAAGATGAGGATGAGAGTCCGAGCAATGTAAATAGTGTCTTATGCCTCCTTTCTGCATTATGCGTGCCGGAAGTTTTACCTATCACTTTCTTATTCTAATTACTTCTACTTTTTGTTCCGAACTTCATGAAAACGTTCCGGTATACTCAGATGTTCCATTCATAATATTCTCAGAATCCTTCTGTAGAACCACTTTTTACTGATCAAGGATGATTTATATTATATAGAATTTTAGTCCTCTTTTGTTTGTTTCTAACGCTATTATTCTGTTTCATAATACTTTGTTTAGCTTTTGGAAAGAAACTTTCGCTATTTTAGTGCACCTTCGGATTTCTTTGTCAGATTTTCTGTCGTCTTTTATAATACTTCCCAAATAGTTAAATTTCTGCACTTGCCTGATTTTGAGCCCTTAAAATTCCTAGTTTCCATCTTGGGTTGTTTTTGATGTTGGGAATCGGCGAAGGGGTTTCAAATTCAGGCGAGGACACTTTTTGTTAAGTTCGAACTAATGACTTTGGAAACACATACATCTACTTTTTCCCCACTTCTGCATAGCAGATTGGGTCCTTGAGCTTTGATGACAATCGGTTTACAAAGACAACGCTGAGTTCAAGACCATGGAGAAAGCACCGCGAAACTATACCACTATCATTCTTATAAGTCAACACGATGCACAGTATGCAGATACGAAAAAAAAAAAGGAGACTTGAAATAGCAAAATAAAATTTTTAAAACTTAAAATAACGATACTAGATGAATTGAATGTAAAGGGAAAGATAGAAATTGCACGCTCCTTATCACGTGCTTCTTTTTAATAAAGTGCGTCAATACAAGGCCCAATAACCATACAAGGCAGAGGATAACTGAATGAAGTGAGTGATATGAACCCAGGGGAACGGTTATAGCGAATAGATAACTATTGATCTTGAAAAGGTTAAAATTATGGTAGGCGGGGAAGCATCCTAACGGAAGTATCTTTGACAAAAAAGCTGTGCTTGGGGAAAAAAGCTGTCTGAGTAGAACATCCTACTTACCAGAGGAATACGTATGGAATGAAGGCGATTCAACCCTGTAGATGTAGCAAGGTGGGTTTTGCTTGTTAAGGTCTGAGCTAGTGGTAGTAAAAAATGGAGCTCGTCTGAACATTTGCCAAGTAAATAGGCTTGTGATGTTTCGTTTGCGGGAATGGTATAGTAGTGTTGAACATAAGTTATTTTCCTACACGGCATCGAAAACGATTTGGACGTTATCCAGGCTGGAAAGATGAAGATATTCCATTTTTTTGGTCTTATAAAAAAAATACAAGGAAACTGGGTTAGGTGTTGAAGGTTTGAGGAGATTGCTTTTACTCAATCCTCACTAATGACCATTGAACATTTTTCATGAAAATATAAGCGCATGAAATGAAAAAAAAGAATAAAAGAAAAAGAAAGAAAGAAAGAGAAACGAAAACGAAAGAAAGAAAGAGAAAAGAAATAAAGCGAAGAGAATGAAAAACGAAAGAAAAAAGAAAGTTAGAAGTAGGAAATAAAGAAAAAAGAAAGCGAAAAGACAGAGAAAAGAATGAAAGAAATAAAGGGAAAGAATGAAAAATAAAACAAGGAAAAGAGGTCGAAAAGAAAGGAAAGGAAGGAAGAGAAACGAAAGAAAAAAGAAATAAAGAGAAAAGAATGAAGAGCGAAAGAAAGAAAAAAAGAAAGAAAAAATAGAAAATAAAGAAAAAGAAAAGAAAGAGAAAAAATATGAAAGAAATAAAGAGAAAAGAATGAAAAACGAAAGAAAGAAAAAAAAAAGAAAAGAAATGGAAAAGAAAGGATAAAAAAAGAAAAGAAAGAAAAAGATGAAAAACGAAAGAAAAAAAGAAATAGAAAATAAAGAAAAGAAAAGAAAAATGAAGAAATAAAGAGAAAGAAAAAACGAAAAAAGAAAGAAAATGGAAAAATAAGAAAAGATAAAAAAGAAAAAAAGAAAAAGAGAAAAAAAGAATGAAAAAAAGAAAAAAAACAGAAAATAAAGAAAAAGAAAGAAAAAAATATGAAAGAAATAAAGAGAAAAGAATGAAAAACGAAAGAAAGAAAAAGAAAGAAATGGAAAAGTAAGAAAGAGATACGAAAAAGAAAAGAAAGAGAAAAGCATGAAAAACGAAAGAAAGAAAAAAAAAAAAAAAATAGAAAATAAAGAAAAAGAAAGAGAAAAATATGAAAGAAATAAAGAGAAAAGAATGAAAAACGAAAGAAAGAAAAAAGAAAGAAATGGAAAAGTAAGAAAGAGATACGAAAAAGAAAAGAAAGAGAAAAGCAAAAACGAAAGAAAAAAAAGAAAGAAAAAAAAGAAAATAAAGAAAAAAGAAAGAAAAAATATGAAAAAATAAAGAAAAAGAAAAAAACGAAAGAAAAAAAAGAAAAAATGGAAAAGTAAGAAAGAGATAAAAAGAAAAGAAAGAGAAAAGCATGAAAAACGAAAGAAAGAAAAAAAGAAAGAAAAAAATAGAAAATAAAGAAAAAGAAAGAGAAAAATATGAAAGAAATAAAGAGAAAAGAATGAAAAACGAAAGAAAGAAAAAGAAAGAAAGAAATGGAAAAGTAAGAAAGAGATACGAAAAAGAAAAGAAAGAGAAAAGCATGAAAAACGAAAGAATGAAAAAGAAAGAAAAAAAGAAATAGAAAATAAAGAATAAAAGAAAGAGAAAAGAATGAAAAAAGAAAGAAAACGAAGATAAAGAAAGAGGACGTAAGACGAACTGACACACAAGAG